AGCAACGAAGAGAAAAAAATAATAGTGCACCAATAAGAAAATTATTAGACAAAACCCTCTTAACAAGTAGGCAAATGATTACCTGGTTGTACCATCCCATAGTACTCCATTTAGTTTTTTATTAGCTTTCATACTTTAAATTTGTAATCCCACCACACGTTTACATAACAATGGTAAAAAAATGTTTAAATGTTAAATTGAATATGTTGAGAAAAATTAAAATTAAACATATCAAAAGGAGACCGGAATAGTATGATTGTCTTCAGAAAACTACCATTAAGGCTAATTGGGGGCCAATGACATTTAATTTTTCGCTAATTGCCCCCCGTTGCTAATTAAAATTAGCTGGAACCGCTCCCTTTTAAAATTCTTTTACCAGTATAGGCTTATTTCCAACACAAAAATTAAAAAATTGTGTAGGAACGTCTCAAGAAAGATATGTATATACATACTTAAAAATTTCCATACAATCGTCATAAAAAAGCATAAAACCCTTCCTACTTTCGCCTTTAAAAACTCTAAAAACATTTCCAAATATAGTCTTAAAAATATGATCTCATAAAATGTTTAGGAATGTTTTAAGAAAGAAATTGGGATGCCTAGAACCAAAAAACCGTAAGCAAATTTAGTTTCGAAAAATATTGCCGTCTTGCTTCCAAATGACGTCGTTTATAACATCCAAAGTTTGTGATTTGTCATATGATGGTCGTAATTTTGAGTAAGACAAGGTATACAAGGACTAGGGAAGGGATCTCCGACAGTACATAAAAGTACTTAGATTGATTTTGCTTTAATATAATAAAAACTCAAAACTTAGTATTAGATGATAATTAATAAGAGTTTTTTATCGTTTGACAACTTCCAAAGAGCCACAACACGTGTGACCAGGTCTGCTAATATAATATAACATAAAAACTATGTTACTCGCTTTTTTAAATTATGCTCAAGAAAAGGTTCATTGATGTTCTTTCGTGATCAACAAAAGTATTTACTTTTCATTCAATTGGCTCCTTAATTTTGGTGTGGCTTAAAAATACTATATAATATTTTGTTTTATTGTAAAAATATTTATATTTTTTATTCCCTAAAGATAGTGTCGTAACGTTTTCAAAGCCTACGATAGCAAACAGTTCGCGTTCATTCGTGCCGTAATTTTGTTCTGTAGCAGACAGAGTTCGCGACATCATTGCAAAAGGGCGACTATCTTTACCCAAAACTACAGGTAAAGCAGTTGACGAAGCATCCATTGTCAGTTCGAAAGGTCGGTTATGATTTGGGTATTTAAGAAGAACGTCTACACGTATGTCGGTTTAATAAATAATTATGGCATCGATGTTCATACTTTCGGTTGTTAATGCTAAACTCAGCTTTTTTCCTATCTTCCTCGCACATAAAAATCTGATGGAAACCAGATTTTACAGTTTTTATGTTGACTTTTAAGCATATTAAATCTACTAACGAAGACTTCAGATGAGGTACTTAACTTTTTAAGTTTAGAGAGACTATAATCGATTGCGGAAATACCAAGAAACCATGGTGGGAGTTTGCTTTTTGTATTTTTAATTGGTATAAAAGGAAGTTGAATAAAAGAAATGGTTTTGTGAATTACTAAGTGACTTTTCTGGGGAACTTGTTTTTTACATTTGCGTATGATATCTTCGAGCACAGTATAAGCAGAGTTAGATAAAATTGTTAATAGTTTTGCGACTAAAATTTGGTTTCTAATATCTGTTGGAATAATTATGAATGACATTATGCTTTAAATAGCAAATTACATATTGGAGATGTACAAGAGTCTCCAAGAGCTATTCTTATAGCAGAATTTAGTAAACTTTTAAGATAAGTATTTAGACAGGATCTGTAGAGGTAAAGACCATAATCTATCTTTGAGATTAGAACAACTTTCAGGACGTTGACAACAGTTTGAGTACTACAGTTAAGTTTTACCAAATTTACCTTTATTTTACGAGTGGACATGCAATTTTTTACGTAATTAATAACTTTCGGAAGAAGTTTCCATTCAACAAACTGATCAATTATAGAGTGAATATCAATATTATCGAATGCTTTGGCAAAGTCTAACGAATGAATGGATAGATGCCTTTTTTTCATAAGAGATTCGGTTATCAAGTAGTCTAAATAAATTAGACAATCTGTAACGGGCCTACCTTCAACGAAACCAACTTGATTTACGTTAATTAAATTTTTGTTTAAAATATACAACCATAACCTATTTGTAATTATTTCACTGATGACTTTTGCATAACAAGGATTTAATGAAATAGGTCTATAAGTTGCTAAGTCAGTTTTGTCCTTTGTAGATTTCAGAATGGGAAAATGGTACTTATTTTATATAATTGAGGTAAAAAGTTATTGTAATGACTAATAATACGCTACTTAAGGTTTAAGGACGTATTTTTAATCATGGCGTAGTTAATCTTATTTTCTCCTGGAGTATTACCTCTAAGGCTACTTAAGGCGTTATTAAACTCAATGAAACAAACTTCTTTTTCAAGTATTAAAGCCTTTGGATTGGGTTCATAGGTAAATAAAGAATTCAGTGCTTTATATCTTTCTGAACGAAACACCGGAGTGAATTTAGAGTCTCACTCGACCAAGTACGTGCTAATAAGTCAACTATTTCTTTTTTACCAGTAATATTGAATTGTAATTTAAGCAGTGAATATCATTTTGAGGATTGAGACTGCAATACCGTCTTATATTGTACCATACTTTGCTAAGTGAAGTTCTGGGTTCAATTTCAGAGGTAAATTCAAATGTACTACGACGCTGAGCAGACTTAAGCTCGCGACGAAACTTAGCATTGGTCTTTTTGTAACTAATTAGGATATATTCTGATATGTTACGCTTGAGAAAATTCCAACATTTGTGTTCTTTTTTTTGAAGTATATCTAGATCCTGACTACCCCAGGGAACATTCCGGTTATTACGAGTAGGCTTAAAAAGGCTTTGTACCAATATTTTATTTATATTTTCAGTTTCTTAGCTGATGTTTGGACTTGGTGTTATGACATTATTGAATATTAGAGTACTTTTCAAAAATTGGCCTATTTGCCGATTTGGTTTTTAATTTAGACAAAGGTCCAAATTCATTCGTCGTCATCAATGGACCTTTTTGCTCCAATATGAATATCTGGGGTAGCAAATGCTAGGTCGATTTGAGTGAAAGTGTGATGAGTAGAATAGTGAGTGAGAAAACCATTATTAAGGAAATGTAACTATGTAATTGTATAAATTTACTTATCTTGTTGCCTCTTGAATTATTTTTGGGAGAGCCCCAGCTGTTGTGCCAGCTATTAAAGTCTCCCAATATTACTGTTAGTTCACCAACCTGAACGTAAAACAGATATTAAATTGTTGGAAGAATATTTTTCTTTTGGGCAAATATATGCATTGCCTATTTTAGAGAAAGTGGCTTTAATTGCATAGATTTATGAATGAATAAAATAACACCATTGGAATAACTGCTTACATTGTTTGAAAGTACTAGGTAATTTTTGGGCACAGGAAAATTATTGCTAGGTGCTAAGTTAGTCTCTTGTAATGTAATTAGGTATGTTCTTGTGAATTAGCAAAGAAAATGAAAGATAATTATTAATGTAGCCCTTAAGGTTCCATTAAATAATAAAAAAGAAAATTAAATTTTAGAAAAACACGTTGTTCGTCATCAATGTTCAATATATTAATATTTTTTCCTCTTAAGAAATATAGAAAATAGAAATTATTTGAAGGTTTAGATTTGTTTGAATTAATTTTATCAACAAGTTTTAATTTGGCTCTTTGTCTATTTTTAATATTTCGGGGAGCAGGCTTGGGAGCCACTGCATCGGATTCAGCGCTATTGGATTCCACAAGAGCGTCATCATAATTAACAATTTCTCTCTCGTTGTTGTTGTATTAGACATTCATTGCGAGGGTGGTAGAGAACTGTAGTTCACTATGAGGAGATTGAGAGCAGTTTTGTGCACATATTTAATTATTGTTTTAATAAATTGCAACTCTGTTTGTTTTATAAACATTGGGCATGACTTTTCAAGAGTATTATGTTGTTGATGGCCGGGTATATTACAATTAATACATGATTTAGGTTGTGCGCAATGTTCCTTTTCTCTGGATCAAGGTAGCACTCTCCACAGTTACTACATAAATTTTGATTTCTACAAGCTTTTGATATATGTCCAAAATAAAAACAATTATTGCATCGCAAAGGCGGTGGGTTATATGCTTTAACTCTTTTTCTCATATAAACATGCTCAGGCAATGTATGTGAGGCAAAGGTTATAATAACGAGTACAGTTTCTATTAACTCGTTGCCGACTTTTTTTAAAACTTTTTTCGAATCCTGAGCATTTTGCACTTTGATTCACTAGAATAAATAACACCTTTACAGGCCTATTCTCACTGTTACCGGTAAAGTAAATTTTGTTACTTTTCTTTAACACCCGAAATTGAATTTGGTATTCTGGCGAACTGGTTACAATGTTTGAAAAAAATTTGGCAGCACTGCTTTTTTCGTCCATATCAAATTATATTTGCCAGTTGATAAGGTAAAAAGAATAATATTCACATCGAAATGGAAGGCGGTGCACAAAGTTTTATTAATGTGTTTATTAAATCATAAATATTTGAACCTAATTATGGGAAAAATGCCTGGATAACAAAAAAAAGCTGAATGAAGACGTTATCTTACAAATTAAAGGGATATTTTTTAATCTCGAAAAAGGCTTTTTGCACTTTTTTCTTCATCTTCAATGGATTCCAAGCCTAAAATATGCCTAGCAGTTTTGTTTTTTTTTATTTTTTCTCAAACTTACAACACAAAATCAAACAGCAGATATTTTTGTTACCTCCTATTTTGCTGGTAACAAAATTTACAGGGTAACAGTGAGCTCAGAATACGAAATGGTAACAAAATTTACTAAATGATAAATTTTAATACCTAGGTAAACTTTGTTACCTCGACAGAATAGGCCTGTTAGTATAATTTAATAATTACTATCAAAACTTTTGAAGCTAGCTTCAATTGTTTTCATTTGAATGCATTGTCAATTACAAATCTATAAACACTTTTGATATTACGAACAAATCTGTTGGCGAAATTTCTTGAAATGTGACTCGATTAAAATTGAAAATTAATTTTTTGGCACGAGCTTTTGATTGCCGGTGCTTTTCCAATGTAAATGCATGCATGTTAACAACACGATTTGAAGCGAAATACCACTTTAAACGCATTTAAACGTGCGACTTATCTAAGCTGTTAACCGATAAACTATATATTAAACTAATTCTTTTATTTATCGAGCACCCACTGGTCCTTACAGTTGTCTGAGACACCTACATGCATATATGCATGCATGTTAACAACACGATTTGAAGCGAAATACCACTTTAAACGCATTTAAACGTGCGACTTATCTAAGCTGTTAACCGATAAACTATATATTAAACTAATTCTTTTATTTATCGAGCACCCACTGGTCCTTACAGTTGTCTGAGACAGTCTTTTCAGTTGCTTTGTTCTATAGAAAAATATATTGATATTATCGTGATTTCATAAATAGGTGTTCCTACGATTTTTATTTTAATATGACTCTGATCTGAATACAATTTTAGTTTGATTTTGCTAATTTGGATCAATATTTTTGCAGTTCTACAAAGCTTTTTTGAACGCAAAATTAACAATTGAAGTAAATAGCATGAGTGTGCCTGTTATTAACTAAAAATTTAAACTAAATTCTAATAAATACAATATATGCATACTAATATTTTAGACAAAATAAGTAAAGAAATTAACGAAGTTATACCTAAACACCTTTCCTGCATTTCATCCTTGAAATTAATTCATAAAATTATATTATTAGGATAAACAATTTTAATGGTATTGGTTAACATTGAATAATTTACCATGGAGTCTGCAAGAGTTCAAAAGGAGAAAAACAATGTAATTAGCCCTTCATAAGTAGATAATAATCACAATTATGCAGCAATCCGATAGAATTCTGATTAGAATTCTGATTAATAATTATTCTGTTAAATTACTCATTGAAGTTAGCTAGGTACAATTTTCGGGACCATTTTTTAATCTATATTATTATGTCTATAACGACGTAAGCGGGCACTATTTTCTAGTTTTGGAGCACCAGGTGGTGGTGTAATGTCATTATGCATCGTAGTATCAGATGATTTTAGATCTGCTACCATATTGCACAACAATTCTCCTTCATTACACTCGAATGGTATTTCATTCTGTGCACTGGTATTCGTATTTCGAATATTTCCTTCAACGTTATTTTCGTTATTCTTCTCTGCTTGAACTTGAACCTCTTCACTGCTATCAGATGGTTGATCTTCAAAACGGCCTATGAATGATGTAGGTATACCACGAAAACTGTGAAATAGATGAAAAAAATGATTTTGGAATAAATTTAAGTTGTTTAGAATTAGTTTTATTTACCGACTACTGTGGCGAGAAAAAGGTCTGGCAAAGCGTATATTTAATTGACAAGGATCAGTTTCAAATTTTTCCGATTCTCGTCTTCTTCGTAGAGCTAAAAAGAACGCACAATTTAAATTAAATCTTCTTTACACACGGCAAATACAAGTTGGATATTGAGTAACAAAAATGAGAAAATTTATTTTACATAATCAGTAAGGATTGAGAACTAAAAATTTCGGAGACATATAATATTTGGTACTATTGTGAATGATAAGGAATGTTCTAAAATAAATTCAAGAAATTGTATTTAAGATTCAAAATGGACAATTTAACAATGTCTCGAAAAAATAAGGAAAGCTTGAAAATAATCCAGTTTTAAAAGTTATCGTTAGGTGAAGCAGAGATAAACCACTCCGTTCAAATTGACCAACAAACATCTTTTCCACTTTTCTTTATAAGTATTACATAATAAGAAATTTTCTTACGATTTTTCGCATATGGCTCAAGCAGCTCACGACTTCTCGTCTTAGACCCGGTATCCCCTTGTTAGCTTACAAACTTCTGTTTGGAGGCGGTTGTGCGTAGAGCTTGGGACCCACTAGATGAAAAGTAAACTCCAATGAAAAATTGTATTATGTCTGGGATGAGAAACCACCCTTTTGAAAATGTTCTAAGGACTACGATTTGAGGGCATCAATCTTGAATATACGGTTTTTTAATTGGCGAGGTGCCGCGGCCCAGCTGGTTAATGTTTTCGCAAGAATAAAGGCTCACATCATCGCCGACCAAAAAGTGCGATTAACGGGACAATGACGAAAGCGAGTAGGTTCTTGTGACATTTACTACAGCGGCCATATAAAGTGAAAATTGGTTTCGGATTTGTGGTGGGACAAAGATTCCGTCGCCGAGTACTGGCATTCACTATCCGCATTAAAGCGAAATTTTTCAATATATCTTCGATTTGCGCCCAGGCCCCGACGAAAGGGAAGGACGATAAGAGCAACATACTTTGGAGCGAACATACTTTTGAGTGCTGCCACGATGTTATAATTATGCTTGACGACTTCAATGCCACGGGGGGGGCAAAGGAGGTATCTTAGGCACAACTACCGGAAAACTCAGCCTCCACAACGAAACATCGCCAAATGGTTTGAGGCTGATCGACTTCGGTGGGGCCCGAAATGTTCAATAGATTCCAGCACAAAAAAATTTAATCAAACTACTTGGCTGTCTCCAGGTCGAAAAACAAACCAGATCGATCATATTGTGATAAACGGAATGCATGTCTCCAGTGTTCTTGGCGCGCGTACACTCCGAGGACCTAACATCGACTGGGACCACTATCTTGTTTGCAGCGAAGATATGCACACGCCTCTGTATATCAAAGAACGTCCGCCTGGGCGTGGGCGCAAATCAACGATATGTTCAACGAATCCAACACCAAATTTGCGCTCCTTTACATGGCCGCTGTAATAAATGCCACATAATTTTTGTGTGCCCAGCGCACAACCCCTCTAGTCGAGTAAGCTCAAAGTTTTTTTTTACACATTTATATAGCGATACGCTTGCATCAAGACCGACGCCTACTCGCAGCCGCACCTCTGGTGAACAGACGCAGCAATTAGACTTCAGGAGACCCTTAAACCGAATAAGTCTGAGTGGCTCTACTGAAGCTTTCTCTCTAATTAGCCGTGACCCGAGGCTCCACACGGGTTGGTTACCGCATCTTGCACAAGGGTTGCTCACGTTTCAAGGGTGCGTGACGTGTTTTTGGTACTTTGGGTACTTTCAAGTTTTCTAACAGAGATTAAGGCGTGTCTCAAATGCTTAAACATTTCGATCGGATGGTCTTGGCAAAATGGCTGGAAACATATGAAGAAAACATAAGAGTGGTACGAGAACATATTTTGAGTCATACTGGATGAAAGCCATTACACGAGATCACATCACTCTTCAGGTCGAAATTATCTAAATGCTGTCTTAGATACTCGAAAAATGTAAGAGCTGTATGTGAAAAAATGTGATGAAAATAATCACGTGTGAAGGAGTGGACTTAGAGGAAAATATTCAATACGCAGTTCAACTTAAATTTTCATACTCCTCAATACAAGTGTGATTCGCTAAAACTAAAAATTTAAGCATCCAGTAATGAAGACGAAAACACAGTGCCAACATACTACAAAAAGTTGAATAGATGGCATACAAAAAGCAAAAGATAACCAGAGCGAATATTACGGCTTCACATTTGATTTTCAGGAAGTATACAATTTCTTCTTCTTCTTTACTGGCATAGACACCGCTTACGCGATTATAGCCGATTTACAAAAATGCGCCATTCGTTTCTGCTTCACGCTGTGTCAATTGGAAATACCAAGTATAGCCAGGTTCTTCTCTACCTGGTCTTTCCTACGGAGTGGAGGTCTTTCCTTTCCTCTGGTTCCACTGACGGGTGCTGCGTCGAAAATTTTCAAAACTGGAGTATTCACGTCCATACGGATCACATGACCTAGCCAGCGTAGCCGCTGTTTCTTGATTCGCTGAACTACATATATCAATGTCGCCGTATAACTCGCACAGCACATCGTTCCATCGCCTGCGGTAGATCTTACACAAAACCTTCTAGAAAACTCCTAACGCCGTCTCATCAGATGCTGTCATCGTCCATATAGCAGGACAGGAACGATGAGGGACTTGTAGAATTTGGTTTCCGTTCGCCGGGAGAGGACTCTAATTTTCAATTGTCTACTTAGTCCAAAGTAGCACTTGATGGCAGGAGTGATTCTGCGTTTGATTTCAAGGCTGGAATTATTGTTTGTGTTGATGCTAGTTCCTAAATAGACGAAATCATCTACGACTTCAATTCTGACCGCGCTTCTGGTGTTGTCTAGCGCCAGCTTACACAGCCGTATACGTTTTGCGGAGATACCAAATTCAGACATAGAGGCATAAAGGCAGCTCCTTGTCGTGCTGTCGAAGGCGGCTTCAAAATCAACGAAGATCTTCTTTTCACTGGTCTTTTCCAAGATTTGTCGCATGGTGAATATCTGGTCAATGGTTGACTTGCGAGGTCTGAAGCCACTCTTATAAGGTCCAATCAGTGTGTTGACGGTGGGCTTCAGACTGTGGGGTCCCCTTTTTTATGGATCGGACAGAGCACACTTAAGTTCCAATCGTCGGGCATGCCTTCGTCCGACCATATTCTGCAAAGTATCTGTTGCAAGCACCTTGCCAGCTCTTCACCGCCATGTTAGAATAGTTCTGCGGGTAGGCCGTCAGCTCCCACCACTGTGTTATTTTTTAAGCGGGCAATCGCTATTAGAACTTCTTTATGGCCAGGTAATGGAACGTCTTTTCCATCGTCATCGATTGGGGTTTCGGGTTCACCATCTGCGAATTCTCGATTTTTACTGCTATTCAGCAGGTTGGACAAGTGTTCCCTCGGCCAGCTTCTCAAGCTCTTAATACTCTCGCTTCTCGGCCTCTTTCTTTTTTTGTCTGCATATGCGTCTTGCTTCCCTCTTCATCTCTCGGTATCCATCCCATCCCGCACGTGCTGTGGTCGATCGCTAGGTTGCGTGGTAGGCAGTCTGTTTTCTCTCCACTGCGACACGATAGTCCTCATCGTACCAGCTGTTTTTGCGACCTTTACGAAATCCAATAGTTTCATTTGCAGCTGTACGTCGGAAGCTTGAAATGCCGTCCCACAGTTCCCGTATACCGAGTTCTTAATGAGTGCTCTCAGAGAGCAGGAGTGCAATGTCGAACTTTCCTTGTGTTTGTTGACGGGCGTCGATATACAGTGGTGCATGCGTATCTTCGCTGCAACGAGATAATGGTCCGAGTCGATGTTGGGCCCTCGGAGTGTATGTACGTCAAGACATGTGATGTCAGCCTTTATTATTACTACGACATCGACCAACTGAGCAGCGGCACCTTCCCAATTAAGGGTCCGGATATTCCAGGTGCATGCCACAAATCGTGATCCTTAATTCGTTTGCGGGGGTCGTCAATAAAAAGTTGATATCTCATCAGAGGCATTGTGTAATTTTTCATTAGAGCTTGTTTCTTAGCGGCGAGTCCCAAACACAGCGCACAACCTCGCGAGGCGAGTAGGTTGAGGATTTCATAATTTCCACAACGAAAATGCTAAAATGTATGCATGGAATGAAACAATCACTTCAAGAGGATCTCAGGAAGTTGCGTCCTGCATCTTAAAGCACATTCGGGATATTACCGCACAAAAGCATGTCATAGCTTACAGTGATGCCTGCTCAGGATATTAACGTACGTGTAGCTTTATTATGGTTAAGAATTGTTCATTCATCTGATAAAAATGTTGAAACAGTTGATCATATATTTATGGAATTCCATTCTTTTTTGCAAAATGATCGCGATTTTGATAGAAACTAAAATTAAAAGATCGAATTATTTATACATTGCTTAGCATTATTATAATTCAATAGAATTATGTAAAAGGGGAAACCCATTTTATGTAGTACAAATGGTTCAGAAAGATTTCAGTTCGACAAAACAATTAAAAGAATCAAAGAATAATAAAGCTTCCTTGGATGACAATTCCGAATTCAAAGTATTAGACCTCTCACCTAAAATATGAAGACCTAAAATAAACGAAAATATTGACTTGCTTCCATAATAGATGTGTAAGACGAATAGCAGAAGAAAAACTTAAACATATAACGGATTAACTATCCTATATCCTACCAATTTTTCACAAACACTTTATTTCCCAAAATATTGTGTAAGTCATTTATAAATTCATGCAGTTAATTTTGAAAGTGGTATAAGTAATGGTCCATTGAATACACTTAGTTTAATCTCTTTTGAAAAATGTACTACGTAATCAAGTTCAAAACATATATAATTTTTTTTAATTAAAACAATCATTAACACGCCAACACAAAATAAATAAACAATTTCTTGCTTGTACTATTAAATTACACATGTGTAAGATACGAAATAGGGGAACATAAAGCATAGCATAAAACCTAGAGGAATCTGGCTTTCCTTGAAGTCTTCAAAAAGTGCCAGAAAACAAAAAGGATGTTTAAGCCCTCCCGATATTGACTGCTATAATCTCGCAACTGGTACTTACGATAATTAAAATGAAGAATACATCCCTGCCTGTGTTGATTTCTAACGATATTATATTAAACGAAATCCGTTTGTACGAGACACAGAGACAATGAAACAAACGGTATAAAACCAGGACGTACACAATTTATTTAGTATCGAAGACTAAAAGCAATTCCATTGTATTAAAAGTAATTTGAAAAAGCTCAGTGTGCCGCCTAAATTAAATTTTTCGATCTAAAGACAACTCTTAATTTACGAATTTTACTAACTGATGTAAGGACGAACCTGGTGTTAATTCCATCGTATTTGGATTTTGAATTAAATTAGCGCGGTTGCTATCATCCGCTGTCTTTTTTGCATAGAGGCTCAAACTCCTTTCATTAGTACTTGCAATTTGCGGTTGTAGTGTAGTTGCCGCCCCTCCGAATGAAGTTGTTTCCACCAAAGTTAAGGCCGTTCCATCTGAACCAGACCAGGAAGCACATTTTGATAGACGACAGTTGAAAATAGGTATTTTACTAGCTGGTATGGTTGCGAAACAAGGCATTTCAATATTCTTAGATGCAACTAATCCATATATATTACCATGCGCAGAACTGGATGGTGTATTTTGTGATACAGCTGTGGCTTCAATATTATTTGATCGCCTTGATGCCATACTTTTGTCATTAATACCATCGCATACACTTGAATTTTTCACAGTACTAAATGTCTCTTCTCTTTCGGCAACAAGTTCGCAACAAAAGTTCGGAGTACTTTTATCGTGTTGTATTGCATTACTAAATTGTTGATTTGTGGACATCTCGTCTATAGCCATTGCCGTAGCTGTCGTAAACTGATTTCCTTCTAGAGTTGTAACGGTATTATCAACAACTTTTATTGAATTCTTAGCGACTGTAACTTCTGTAGGTAATTCATCATAGGATAGAATCTCCTCAGGAACCGTTTTATCTTAACAAAAAGAAAACGTTTTAAGGAATTAGAAAATAAATAAATAAAGAAATGGTTACAATTCAAGTATAAACATACATAAATTTTGACTATTTGTATAGCTCACAGTATTACATCCGATAGCAAAGATGAGCATGTTCGCTGTATAAGAACGTTGAAACAATAAAAATTGTTGGTGTGCATTATTTCCGATTGAGTTTGGAAATTATATTTTGTTTTAGTTTATCAAGATAACGCACTTTTCTTTTTTTATATTATGTAGATCAATAATATCATTTTTTTGATTTATTTATAATTCTGTGAACCATAACCGAGCGATTAGTTTTAAGATGTTTTGAACTAATATTTATAACATTGGATTTTTTTCTTCCTTCTCTGCGACTCGTTTCCCTATTTTTGCTTAGAATGACGATCGTAGCATAATAGACATTTCCCGAAGTTCTTGGATGTGCAAATAGATTTTACTCGAATGCAGCTAAGTGGGAAAGAGAGGGGCAATTATTCAAAACACAAGGAACGCTCGACGTCGATAAGCTGCAATCACAACAGGCTGATGAGCAGTTTTCTACTCGACTTGCAGACTGTGAGCAATCATCAGCGACTTGGAATAAGAGATCTATTGAATGATATTTCAAACTCGCTAAGTACAGCTGCAAACAAAACTATTGGATATTAGAAAGATACAAAAACGGCTGATACGATGAGGAATGAAAAAGAAAGGCTGCCTACCTCGCAAATCTTGCGATCGACCACAATACTTGCGAGGTGGGATAGATACCGAGAATTGAAAATAGAAGCAAGACGCAAGTGCAGAAAAAAAGGAATAGGCCGAGACGCGTGAGTACGAGGAGCTTGAGAATCTGGCCTACCAACGCCACTTTCGAAAATTCTACGAAAAGGTACGGTAGCTTATTGAGCGAAGAAGACTCTTGTAGAACAGAACATAAACTCCTTAATATCGCATATAAAGTCCTTTCGGGCATATTGTGTGAAAGACATAAGTCTAAGCTGAAAGTTAATTTTGAAACATCTGAGTTATAATAACAAGTTGTTTCCCTAAATATTATTCGTGGTGTAGATTGTGCACCATCACTTTTTCAATTATGTACCGAATGTCAAGTAAGTCGAACCATAAATTCTATTTTTGGAATAAGTCAGTGCCTTGCCCACTTTCTGAACAGAAGTGTAGTATTCCTGTTAAGCTAAGCAAAACGCCACCTATCCATCAAATTTGAAGTAATTAGAACAATAAATAAGTTTCGTTAGTAATCTTCCTGTTTATCTAAGCAAAAGGCTACCTATGTAATAAATTTTAGGTAGGCTGAACAATAATACGATTTTTGGGATTGGTCAGTGGCTTGCCCACTTTCTAGAGAAAAGTGTATTCTTCCTGTTAATCTACGCAAAATCATAAAAATATAAGCAAAAAACTATCTATATAAAGAATTTCTAGTAAATCGAATCATAAATAAGATATTCGAACTAGTCAGTCCCTTTGATAAACGGCTGGCTGGCCCAAAATATAGTTGTCTGTAGTACTGGATTCTAGCACATGAAAATTCAACAAGCTACCTGGCTGCCTCCGGACCGAAAAGTCTCACAATCATATCGATCACGTTGTAGTACATGGTAAACATGTATACACTGTTTTATATATGCGTGCGTTCCTCACATCGACTCGGACAACTATATTTTTTGGCAGCAAAAAACCTCATACACCTCTGTATATCAAAGAGCGGCTGTCGACAAACACAAGGAAAGTTCGCCGACGAAAAGCTTCAATCATAACAACTGCCGAACGGTTTTCTACTCGGCTTGCAATCTTGCTTTCGGAGAGCTCTCATCAGCAACTCTATATAACAGTATCTACTGAATTTATGCAGAAAACACTTCTCCGGCTTGCTAAATGGCAGTGAAAATGGAACACCCGGATCAATAATTAGGGAAAAGACGTTATATTATACGACTATGACGAAGTTCGAAAAGCGATTGCATGTTAACACATGGCCATGAAAAGCTGATTGGATCGAACGGATTGAAGCTTACTCAAAATAAGGATTTAAGTGTGCTCTGCCTAATCCATCTAAAAGGGAACCTTAAGGTCAGCGTCAATTACCGGGGAACTAAACTCTTAAATATATATATACGGGGGAATTTGCAAAAGTTCAGTATTTTTCAGGTCATTGTTGAATTGTTTTTGGGTTTTTTATGGAACTGTTTCAGACCATATATTTTTAGAAATAGTGGAAAAATTACAACAAGAGCTTTGGACGGTAGAAGTTGTAGCTATTATTTCGGAAACCACCACGTTTCCTCATCAAACTTCTTTCTACCAACATTGAGTCCTCTTTACTCGCTCCTGCAAAATTTGTGCCACTATCGCTTCTAATTCTAATGGGAACTCCGCGTCTATTTATGAAATTTCTCAAACATATAATAAAAGCATCAGCGGGCAAGTCTCTAGCCAACTCTAAATGTTTTGCCTATACTGTAAGACTTGTAAAAAGACAACCCCATCTTTTTTCTGGACGTCGTCCCAAGGCTATGAAGTAGGGTCTGAAAAATCCGCATCGGTGTGACTGAAGTCTCATAAAAGCAGTAAGTCGATTTCTAGGTAATTCTCCCATAAGTGGCGGTTTTGGTTCGGTTTTTTTATTTTTACAATATTGACAAGTTTGGAATCCAAAATTTTCTCCGAATAGCACTCACGATTGATTCTTGGTTCTGATGTTTATATTTCTCGTAATGGTAAGTAACGTGCAACTAATCCATTCAAAGGATGACTGTTTGTAAAATAATAGGTCTAATTTAAGGGTACTCATTCCGCATCATCAACCGTTGGTATTAGATTATAAAGTGGAATTTTCTTAAAAACAGCATCTCCACAAATCACGTAGCTCATCAAGATATGTCCAGTTTTGGACAAGGCGACAAATAAGTTTTTCTGTTTCATCTATGTACTTTGCTGCCAGTTAAAGACTTGAACTAGGATACGCTTTTTTCCTTTCGTTATTTTTAATAGATTTGAATTTCAGTACAGCTAATATAACCCAGCTCATAACCCTGAGCAATTTATGATAGTTAGAAAATCTTTCAAAGTTTATTACTTTAGAATCAATGTCGATAACAAATATGCTTTTTAAGCGTCGCTTACGGTTCTTTTAAGAATTTCGGGGCACTTATCCATAGGGAGTTATTAGCAACTTTTGCTATGTTTTGTAGCTTCATGTCATGACCACTTAATATAATATCTTTCAGGCGAACACCCAGTACTGCAGCCAAAAGCTCCAATCTTGGTGCAGACTCAGCTTTAATGTCTATAGCTTCATCTGCTGTGTCGTAACTGTCGACATTGTCGTCCACATAATGGCAATCAATAATTGCGATAACAGCCCTCGGATAATTTTTTTGAAATTTCTTTACATTTAAATTCCTTACATATTGTGCCGAGCATGGTGAACATACCGAACCGAATGTCAACGCAGTCATTTCATACACTTCCGGTTCCTTAGTTGAGTCTCCATTTTGCCATAAAAACCGTTGCGCTTCTTGATCGACTTCACGTATTTTAACTCGGTGAAACATTTCGCGTATGTCAGCACACACACCTGTTTGACCCTGTTGGAATTCAAATAAAATTGACAACAAAGGTTTCGGTTTCATTAACCTTGAATTAAAAGACAACGCCTTTTATTTTCTTTATTAATATTGCAAACAGCAAAATGTGGCAAATACCATGTTTGAGGACAAATCTTCAATGCCTCTGAATGTGATAATTTCCTAGCGTATGATTTATTTATATACTCAGCTATTTTATTATTGTATCATTCGAAAAATGTTTTGTCTTTACACATTTTTGGCTCAATAATTTCAAGGCATCTCAGTGCCATATTGTAACTCTCAAAAATTCTCTTTCATCATAAGCCCACAACAAACCAGTTTCAAATTGCGTAGTAATTTGTTTAGTTGTTTCGAAAAGAATTTTTTTATCCCTTTTTTCGGCTTTGTTTATTACCGGCTGTAGTGGTTTCACACCAAAATATTCTATACTAAAATTCTCTGTCATTTGTTTTTGTATGTCTCTCATCGTACTTACGTCACAATCAAAACGACACAAAACTCCGTCGTCGCTTTCTTCATTAGAACCAAATAGTATACAGCCTAAATAAGATCTATGAATCGAAAAACATTCATGAAGATTAATTACTTCTAACGGTAAAACTAAATTTATGTCTGACATGCCGACAAGCATTTGTAAAATTCAGTTCATTCATAATAATTAACTGAAATATCATTTGATATCTTGACATTAAATCTTGTGGTCTTTTCAAACCGACAGCTTTGACAACACTTTACTCGATTAACTGTATTCGAAATCCATCTTTTGTTGCATTCAATTACTTTGAACTTTAAGCACTGATATAAATGATGACTTTATTTCTATCAATCCCAACACGGGCTTTGGAGACGTTTTCGGTTTCGAAATCAGCTGATCATGTACATTCGATATCTTTTGTGCTATTTCTTGCAGCCTATTATTAAAATTCTTCACACTTGGATAGGATAAATCAAGGAAAAAGCGAGCCCATTTTCCACGTTTGTGCATTGGAAGTTTACTCACCAATTCATCTAAAAGCGTCGGATTTGTTAAATACTGCAAAAAATGATGCCAAGTTGCTTACCATTGTAATATAGGCAATTATATAAGTCAATATAGTTATTCGACTACGAATTAATAGTTGTGGACGTCCAAAATTTAATTTCAGTATAGATATCACATCATTCACGCTTAATGGATGGATAAACATTGATTCTACTTTTTGTTTAGCTGGCCTTTTCAAGGCGGTGTACATATACATGGCAGTAGTTTCATTAAAGACGGTAAATTTAGAAGTTTTCGAATAAGTGGTTGTTGTAATTTATCGGTTATGGCAGAATGCTCGTTTGAGATTCACGCAATCCGGCATTTATTTGGCTTAAAGCAACCTGGGGATGTATTC